TAGATATGAATACTTTGTTTTGGAATGGATTTTCATTTATTGATACAATTTAAGGTCAATTTTGTGATATGTATATTTCTCCTCTTGTTTAGGTATTGTGTTTATATAGCTCATATAGAAATGTAATGTATAATTCAATACAGACTATAGATAGTACCTATGATAGTCAAATCTTATAGTTAAGTTAGTTAAGATTTCTAGATATACAGACATGTATTTGAGATAAGTAGGCATTCTTCAAACCTTTCAAAGACCTACAGAATATGGCATTTAAAATGGTTTAGGGTTTTTCTTGACAGTGAGACATAAATGCTCCTGGCAACACCACCTGCGTCAGAAAGGAAGATGGACATTGAAGAAATTCGTTATGGAGTTTACTTCCAATATGGCAAGTAAATGTTTGGAGAAGATACCGCTCTGTCTGGACTGTTTGACCTTATGCTGTATAAACTGGACATGCAGGACCCACAGAAAAGTGACTGCTGATTCAGGATGGACATTGTTACAGAGTTCCTGCTTCATGGAAGAGTCTGCCAGACAGTCTGCAGGACACAGAGAAAAAAGATTGACAAACTTCCAATACAGGAAGACAGTTTAAAGTTTCCTGCTTTGCTGAAGAGTCTGCTAGACACACTATGGCCTATGGGCTGAAGATGGAAGATTACAGAAGAACTTCAGGTGACTGACAAAGCAAGATGTCTTTGTCATTTCTAGAGTTTATATACTATCCTTCTGGGGTCTTTGAAGGAGTTGAAGACAGTTATGGTTAGATAGTTTTCTGTAGTTAGGATTAAAGATAAGTTACGTATAGGACTTTAGACATACAAAGATAGGATAGATGATGGAATATTTTCTTAAATCTTGCTAAATGTTAATGGACTAAATATTGTTAACTGTGATTCTTATTTGATAGCTATTGTGTTATATATTTTGCTATGTTAAGGTTAAAACCCTTCTTTTTATTTTAGACAGAAAAGAGGAGATGATGGGAGATGTCATTCTGTATATGTTTCTCATACTGGTTAATGAATAAAGCACTGTTGGCCAATAGGAAAGGAAGATAGGAGGGACTAGGAGACAAGGAGTAAAGAGGAAGTGGGAAGGAGGGGTCAACATGGAGAGTCTGGAGAGAACAGAACCACCGTTCCTCCGCTCTTGCTAAGACCACATGGAAATACATAGAAATGGGTTAATATTTAAGACAGAGCTAGCTGATAAGAAACAAGTAATTTGTCAACAGAATTATATCAAATACAGAGTCTCAGTGTGTTAATTGGGGCTGGCGGGGTGGCGGGACCAGACCAGCGGTGGGAGGAAAAACCTTACTCCTTACAATACTGCTTCTTTTGTTTATTTTAGGCTAACTTCCAAGTGTTTGTTATTCTACTACATTGTAAGCAAAACCTTCTTCTTATAGAAAAGTTGCAAGTTGGTGCATTCTTGTAGCCTTTCCTGCACTAGATGTGCATATGATTTTCCTTTTGTCCTTGATATGTCACAGCTATTGCAGGACTCTCTTTACTGTGTGATATGGGTTGATACTGATGAAGGGCCCAATCCAGAGGTAGGTGTGACTAATCAGGTCTCTTCCCTTGGGGATGGGCATTTTTGTGTGACTATCTTTGGGCAATAAGCAAATGAAGCAGATGATGTCAGCCAATGAATATAACTGAAGGAGGAAGGCATGCCAGATTGGAGCATACATATCCTTTAGGATCTCTATTTACAAAATTACCCCAAATTGACCCTTCCTTTCTACATGCTTAATGAGGGAAATGGCTGTGGGTAGTCTCTTACTTTCAAGATCCCAGGTTATTCACTTGGAGAATGAGAAGTTAGGTCAGAAATTAGCTAAAGAATTCAATTGTTGACTGATTGAGCTACTGATATTATTTTCAACCTAACTGATGGATTATTAACATCCAATCAGTACAAAGCTCCCTAAAAATAGGATCAGAATACTGTGTTTGCTATCATGGTAGGCAGTGAATTCCTGGTGTACAGCATGAAGAATGAGTGTTGTTTATAAACTGACAAGATAAATATATGCTTGTATTACTGTCTTCATAGACCCAGAAATAATTCAATATCTCATTTCTTATATTCTTATACTCAAAGACTAAATCATTTACGTGCCCAAAAAGCCAGCTGAAGTAGGCATAGTCTTACAGAATAAACTACTGATACAAGAGAGAAAAAACAAACATGCAGACATGATGAATAGAAGGTTCTTAGTGAAATGACGTGATGGTTAATTTTATTTGCCAACTTGATTAAGTCATGCGGTACCCAGATGTTTGGCCAATTCATAGTGGTTGTGAAATAATTCATGACTTGACAATTGAGTATCTGTGAGGTACTTCTGAATAGCTTAAAATCTAGACAGACTTAAAACAGCAAATTGATTTCCCTAATGTAGATGGGCTCTATTCAGTTGACGGGATAATGGCACCAGAAGGCTGAATAAGAGGGAGCTCCTTGCTGGGCAGTGGTGTCACACACCTTTAATCCCAGCACTCAGAAGTCAGAGTGAGGTGGATCTCTGTGAGCTTGAGGCAGCCTGGTCTCCAGGACAGCCAGAGGTTCTCAGTGAGAACTCACCTCAAAAATCACACACACCCACACGCACATATACACACAAAGAAGGAACTCCTTGTGCCAGTATGACATCAATGGGGACATACCTTCAAACTTGGCTGGAAGCAGATTCTTGAGCCTGCTGGTTTTCAGATCAGAGAGCACTGCCACTTGATGCCCTATGTCTCAGGCCTTTGGACTCAATTTGGCAATACACGACCTGTGCTTCTGTATCACTAGGTTGCTGACTGAAGATCTCCATTGTAGTAGCCAATTCTTTTAGTAAATATCTATCTATCTATCTATCTATCTATCTATCTATCTATCTATCTATCTATCCATCTATCCATCATTCCATCCATCCATCCATCCATCATCTATTGCCCCCTACTTATGACTATAAAACCAAATCTCACAGAAAGCTTATTTCCTTACTGATATTATTATCATCTCCAAAGGGAGGCTAAGAATTTCCATTTACTGGTTTGATAAATTATTTAACAATTTATCATTTGATTAAGCAAAAAATAGTAAATTTAATTGAACTTAGCACCATAATTAGAACTTCAGATAAGTGTATATAAAATTATCTTTCTGGTTTATCAATTTCAAGCAATGAACATTCCACATACCAGATTACCACAGTTTGGATAATATTAATATAAGTGGTAATTATATACTAATTATAGTAATACAACTTTATAAAAATGAGATGTTTTCTTTATCAAGCACATAAAAAAATAGGTATGTTGGGCTGTGTAATCATGAGGATCTGAGTTCAGATCCCCAGTAGCCATGTAAAAAGGTGATTGCAAAAGTAGGTGCCTGTAATCCAGTACTGGGAAGGTGTACACAGTCAGACAGATTCCTGGAGTTCACTGGGCCAACAGTTCAGTCTATGAGTGAGAGATCATGTTAAAAAATAATGTGAAGAGTGGTGAGGAAGACACCAGGGTCGGCATTGGTCCCTACATATACACAGAAAGAAGTGTATCTTTGTTTCACTGAGGCTGTAACAAACATGTTATGCTCATGGTTTTCTTTTACAGAGTTTAGAATATATAAAAGAGGAGTTAAAAGTAAGTATTAGATTTTTTCAATAAAGTCAAAATTCTTAAAAAAAAAGTTTCAGGGAAGTTAATACAGAGGAAGAGAATGCTAAGCCTTTCCATTTTATTTACATTTACTTTCCCCATCCTTGCTTTCCTCACTTTCACTGTAGTGATGGGGATCAAGGCTCTACCACTGAACTACACCCATAGATTATGTCTCTTTCTTTTCTGAAAAGTGGTCATTACATACTTATTTATTGTATGTGTATGTATGTGAGTGCACATGTGGCATGATGTGGGCATGGAGAGGACAACTTGCAGGAATCTGTTTTCTGCTTACACTATGTGGGATCCAGGGATTGAACACAGGTCCTAGGGCTTGGAGACAAGTACTTTCACTCACTGGACATCTTCACCAGCCCTTGCTACTTTATGTAAGGGAGCTAGGCTTGACCTTGCACTTCTCATGCCTCATTCTTCTGAGTATTGAGAACTTAGGCATGTGCTACCAGCCTGGTGCTATTTACATGGAATTTATAAAATCTTTCCCTTCCTTCTATGATAAAAAATATGTTCTTAAATGCAGAAAATCTCCCTTGCATATTTTTCTTTTCAACATTTTATATACTATACTTCAGCGATGTGATACAAAATAAATAATTCTTGGGCATGTTTAATCCTTTTTCTGAATAGTTTTAGTTTTATAGTCAGAAGTAAAATAATTTTAATAGCTTGCCAATAGACATATTAAGATTTGAATACTCGATGAAGCTATGTAGGTAAGCTAGTATAGTCTCAATGTAATTTCACAGTTGTATTCTCTGAGACAGAAATCTGCCTTAATGCATCTTTGTACATAGAAACAGAAGGGAAAACAAAGAGCTCAGCTGGTTTCTGTAGTCCACTTCATAATACAAGTATAAGCAGGAGCCGAGGAGGTGGCTCAGTTGGCTACGTGTCTGCCATGCAAGCATGAGGACCTGACTTTGATTCCAGGGTACAGCAGTGTGAGTCAATCCCAGAACTAGAGTGATGGAGGCCATTTGATCCCAGGGCATGCTGGGTGGATAGTCTGACCAAAGCATCATGTTCAGCAAGCGACTCTGTCTCAAAAAATAAGACACAGTTACTAAGCAAGACCCCTAGTGTTGATCTCTGGCCTCCACAAACAAGCGCACATGTGTACTTTCATATAAACATGTGTACACATATACATAAACATACAGAAAAAAACTTCATTGGTAAAACTGTCTTGTAGTAAAATTTTTCCAGAACCATTTTTGTCTTGTATTTCTATTTATGAAGTGATACACTAAAAATGACAGTCAGTAGTCTTAGTTTAGAACACTGTGCTGGCATCATGCTACTCACTTTTTTGGTGTCCTTAGAGACAGAACCTGGGATGATACAGTCATCACTGTCAGAAGCTGATCTGTCCTCATCTGTCAGAAAACATGAGGCAACACTATCAGGTTAGCCAAGTACTTACTGCACATGTCACAAAAGAATAACATGACAACCAGGTCTATGACTTTTAGCTGCAAGTACATTTGCATGTACATTCTAGGAAAGGAAAAATCAGCCTGAAAAATTCCCATGTTTAATTTTGATAACTACAAAAGAAATAAAATTATTATTATATTATAAAATTAATGAAAACAATACGTAAGGTAACAGATACTACTTTTTTCTCTTAAAACTTTTACATTTAGGTATCTATTTGTGTGTATGTGTTTCATGGGGCACTACAAGTGTAGAGGTCAGAGGATAACTTGTCTTCCCCTTCTATTATGTGGGTCCAGGGAACAAAACTCAGGTTCTCAGGGTTGGTGGGTGGCAAGCAAATTTCCCCACTGAGCAAGCCATCTCTCCAGTCCCTTCTTTTTTATCTTCATATCTGGACTTTATTATACTTCATAATTCCTCCAATTATTAAAAAACTTCTTATATTCAGTTTACTGTATTTTAAGCCAGAAGCAGTTTTATCAATTTCCATAAATGCTGGTAGCAAACAAAAGTCAAAACATTCAAGCTTTATTAGGATCCTAAGTATAGAGAGAATATGTTGAAGAGCTATCATAGTTGATGCATGCACAGGAATGGTGGACTTCTCTTTCATAAAACAAAACAAAGCAGCAACTACTTTAATGGAAAAATAGCAGAGACAGGAGGAAGATCATTTTCTCAAGTGAACCCACACTTGCATCACAATGTATATTATTTGTGCAAGAATGGCATTAAGTAAATATATGGGATATTCACAAAATACAGGTTGGAAGGTTGACAGATCTTCCAATCTGCTGGACATATCAGTTTACATAGCAATGGAAAGTGTGGTAATGCAATATATGTGATAGAAAAGAAGGTAGCATTGGCTGGGGGAAGAAAGGGAACCAGCTTTGGGGGGGGATAGGGGAGGAGCATGAAAGAAAGCCAGGTATAGTGACATATAGGAATGGAAATGCAGTGAGAAAATCCATTACTTTGTTATTAGCCTAAAGTTAGTAAAAATCTGAACCTAGTTAACTATAGTTGAAAAAGTAACAACAGAAGTTGAATGTCGTGAATGTCCACTTTTTCCTTCCTTCATCCATCACTGTGTGCCTGAAGGCAGTCAGTGGCCTGCACCCATCTATGCCAAGGTGTGATGTCACCCCTCATGCCTTGCAGCAATCTTGCAGGGCAGTACACAGGAGTCTGCAGAACTACCCTGCAGCAGGGGTGCTCTGCTCCTGCAGCGAAACTGAATTGTGATGAAGTCTCCCTGCACAGCACTTGATGGCACCCTCCACAAGTTTTTGTCTCTTTTTACCTCAACAGGAAGCTGATGAAACTGTGTTACTAGCCCATGTGCAGCTCTAGCTACACAGTGAGAGCTAGCCCTTTTCTATTCAAGCTACTGACCATGAGACGTAAGCTATCTACCAAGGCCAGATCCGCCTAGTTTCTGTGGCCCTCCAGTTGGGTCATCAATCACAGAAAGAATATCTTTCTTCCATTTCTCTCCCACACATCCTTTTTTAGTTGCCATATGAATTTTCATGTATTTTGTAACTAAGTCTGAGAGGCACTGGTACCTGCTACAGTGTCTGGACAAGTAATGCTCAGAGACCGTGGGGTGTCAATAGGGCACCAGAGCTTCCATAACAGCCAAGCCCACATCTGCCATCACATAGAGCATATTTCCCAATGGCTTACACAAAATACTATGTAAAAAAAACCAATGTTACCCTTACTTTTACATTAAAAAAATAGCTCTGTAGATGTAAGAACACAAATATAATAAATGATACACAAATTTAAACTACAAAAATTTGTTATTTGACATTAATTCTGTGAAATTATCTCTAGCTTCCTAATTAAAATAGCAAATATTGGCTGGCAAGATGGCTCAGTAGGTAAAGGTACCTGTCACCAAGCCTGATGACCTGAGTGTGATCCCTGGAACCTAAATGGAAGAAGAGAACCAGTCCTCAAAAGCTGTTCTTTGACTTCCAGAAGTGTGTGTAGTATACATACGTGTACATGCACATGCAAATAAATACATGTTTTTAAAAAGGTAGATGACCTAACCAACACTCCTGTTTCCTCTGAATCTTTCTCCCTTGCTCCCATCCAGGCTTCTGCAGGCTACAGACCTGCTTCCTGTCTATTCAGAATTAGTCCACTTTTACAACATTTTATATTGATGAATTGAGATGGTATGTTGTCGTTTTCAACATCATAATTTTTGGTATTAATTTTAAAAAGTCAAAGCCAAAGAAAAATCCAATTGATAATACTGAATGCAAAGAGAACATAAAATATCTAAGACTTAAACTGTTGACAAGCTCAGCAATGGCACTTGTATTCTATGTGGGAGCCCCAAGTTGACCTAAGAAGAGAGAGTTAATAGCCTGAAGAACTCATCCCTCACCCTGAACTTCTGTTAAGAGTTGGACATCATGAGGTGGACTCACTACTGAATGATGTGTTGTGGAAGGCAGGCATGCTCTCACAGAGAAAGCAAAGCAGCGTCAGGTGAATAACAGTTTAAACACAAAGTCACCTTCTGGCTCCAGTTCTTCTGTTATTTCTGTTTCATCTTCAGAGGAAGCCACACTTTGTGATGCAAGCTGACCTTCAGATAGGAAAGAGATGTCATCTTCTTTTCCTTGTTGCATTTTCTCTATGTTTTCTTCTACTTCAGCTACACTGCTTTCCTGCAAAATGCATAGGATACACATTGCTGTATTTTTTACTGCTTGGGTTATATTTTATAGCATTCTTCTTGAGCACTTGAATAATAAAATATATGCATTTGAGATGTGAGTATACAGACATATATCTGGGCATACTGTCTCATGACCATAATCCCAGCACTCAGAGGCAGGAGGATCACAATGAGTATGAGGCCAGCATGGGCTATACAAGAAGTGAGTTCCAAGCCAGCCACCACCACCACTTTTGCCTCGTCCTCCACCACCAACAGTAGCAGCATCCCAGCACCAGCATCACCACCACCACCACCACCCATCTTCTTCTCCTTCTACCTTTACCTCCACAACAAAACACACAGAGATATGCAATATAGCTATTAAAGACTCATTAGAAAACAGTCACTTAGATTGTAGAAATAGATTAAAACACACAGGTCAATAAAAATCCAAATATACATTAAGAATGAAAGCTGTGAGTTAACCTGGTGTAGTAACACCATCACATACAGGTGTAGGTAGAAGGCTATGGAATCTAAGGTCATCCATAGCTACACAATTTGTCTGAGATTAACCTAGCATATACAAAATCCCTTCTCAACAAAACTAAACACAACAGTATAGGATATATTAACCTCAAAATGACTTTTACATTGATTTTAATTTACATGTTATATATTTTCTGCCAATGTATGGACAACTTTATCTGCTATATTTATAATTTTTAACATCTATCATGAGAAAGTCATATTTAAAAGTAGAAAAAAAATGATATGATTTCCCAAAGCATGTCTAACATACATGATAAAGTCTTTGAAGTCTCAAAATAAACCTTTGAAAATAATTTTAATACAAAGGCTTACCTTGGAAGTAAATGAAACAGCTGACATATTAGTTTCTGGTGTGTGTTCCATTTCTGGGGAATTGTCCTTTACATCTTCAGGAGGAGGAGAAGTCTTGAATTAATGGTAGAAAAATCATGTATGTTATTTTGTATTCATTACAATGGTAGTTTTAGGCAGGTACATGCTTGACTGTGTAAGATCAAGAAACAATATGAGAGAAGGCTGACAGAGTTTATACTTTGTGTAACTGAGAGCAGAAGACTCAGCTAGAAACTGGAAAGAACTATTGGGTCAAGGAAAGGACCAATTAAAGAACACAAACTGGTGCCCTAGTAAAGACGTGCTGGGCTTCCTGTCTCTTCTTGGGTCAGAAAGGAACAGTGTAGTTTATACTCTTAAGTATTTGCTACAGGAAAGGGAACTGGTATTTGGAGCATTTATTACTCACAGGACTCAGGTGAGGCATTATATCCACAAAAGAGACTTTTTTGTCCACAAGTGTTAAACGTCTTGGTTTAGGTTTTGGTGCCTAAGATAAAATGATATGTTAGACAATGATAATCATTACATTTTAGAGGAGGCTTCAGCTAGTTTCTGGTGGAATTATTTGGCTATTAAGTTTATATATACAAAGCACTGTAATTGAAATTGAAAGTCACTTTTACTCACTACAACTGATGTAACACACGAGGATGTTGGAGGGAGTTTCTGAACAACCTCTGGATCTTCTCTGCATATGAACTTTCCTAAGTCTTCAGTAGTTATTGATCCATTTGGTGGAAGGTAGGTGAATTTCCATTTCAATATAACTTGGATGGTTCCTGCAGAATGCTTTTCATTATCCATTAACTCAAATATCCCTGCAAATTGTGAAAATCACTTTCAGCCAGCATGAAACCTTGTTATTCTAAAATTACAGCAGAGGCCCGGGAACCCACAGGCTACTCAAGACAGGGAAGCAGGGAGCCTAACTGTGCATTTGCAATTCTCCCAGCAACCATCCAAATCCAATTCCCAAGTCTTATCCCCAGCTCTGTAGCAGAACATCTACTGCAGTCTTCCTTTCTGATCTGTCATCAATGATCGTATATATCTTTCCCTCCAACCCTCCTTTCCCATAATTCCAGCCTCGAATGTCTGGCTCACAGGCCACGGATAGAGAGGTAGATCTTCACTTCTCCCTTTCCTCCAAATCCAGTTCCCTTCTGCATCTACAGCTCTGTAGCAGACCACCTGCTGCAGGTTTGTCCCCTTCCTGCCCCCATATAAAGTAGACACACAAATCTTCCCCTTCAACCTTTCTTCATCCCATTCATTGCTCTATCCCAGCCCCCAGCTCTAGTAGGCACTCCCTGGAAACCCACAAACCACTGCTATCAGGAATGCAGGTAGTTCAACTGTGGCTCTTCACCTTTCCCTTTTCTCCTATTCCAATCCCCCAGTCTCACACCCAACTCTGTAGCAGACTACACTCTGTAGGAGACTACACTCTGTAGTAGACTACCCATTGTGGTCTCCCTCTCCTCTCTGCACCCCCATCTCCAACTGATCATGCACACATCTCCTTTATCCTCCCTACTCATCCTGTTAACCCTGCCCCAACTTCACCAGGCTTTCTCTGGGAACCCAACAGCCAAGCCTGACAGAGAAGCAAGGAATTCAGCAAAGCAGATATGATGGGAGATGTCATTCTGTATATATGTTTCTCATACTGGTTAATGAATAAAACACTGTTGGCCAATAGGAAAGAAAGATAGGAGGCACTAGGAGACAAAGAGGAAAGAGGAAGTAGTAAGTCTCAACGTGGAGAAACTGGAGAGAACAGAACCGCAGGTCCCCAGTCTCCAGTAAGATAAGACCACGCGGAGATTAATAGAAATGGGTTAATAATTAAGACAGAGCTAGCCGATAAGAAACAAGTAATGGGCCAACAGCATTATATCTAATACATAGTCTCAGTGTGTTATTTGGGGCTGGTGTGGCAGCGGGACAAGACCAGCAGCAGGAGGAAAAACCTTAGTCCTTACACAGGTATGCAAGCTTCAGATTTGCACTGTCCCTCTCTCTTGCATGGCCAATCCCTCAGTATCAGCCCCAGCTTTGGAGCAGACTACCTGCTGTGGTCTCTCCTCACTCTCTGCTCTTATTCTTGGGGACCAAGCAGATCTTGGTGGAACACACTGCTTTGCTTTTATGTGGACTGCTTTAGCACATCCCCATTCCTCCTGTGGATCCCCTCAGCCCTTACTCCTAGCCCATCCTCATTACTAAGTATAAGGTCCCAATACCTAGGAATCTTTTACCTAGAACCCTCAGATGCCTAGATGCTAGTATAAAAAGGAAATCAATAACAGCCAGGGCAAAATGTTTCCACTAGAGCATAGCAATGGTATCACAGTGGTCCTGAGTATTGCAATATACCTGAAGCCCAGGACAAGGATCTTAAAATCACCTTTAAGAATATGATAGAGGTCCTTAAAGAGGAAATGAATAAATCCCTTAAAGAAACATATGAAAACACAAACAGTGAAAGAGAAATGAATAAAATAGCTCAAGACCTAAAAGTTGAAACAAAATAAATAAGGAAAACTCAAACTGAAGGAAATCTGGAAATGAAAATCTTAGGAACTTGAACAAACCTCACAGGCAATCCTCACAAACAGAATACAAGAGCTGGAAGAGAGAATCTTAGGTCATAGTGAAGACATGATAAAAAAGAAATAGATACCCCAGCCAAAGAAAATGTTAAATCTAAAAAGATCTTGCCACAAAACATACAGGAAATCTTTAATACCATGAAAAGATCAAATCTAAGAATAACAGAAATAGAGGAAAGAGAAGAAACCCAAGTCAAAGGCACAGAAATTATTTTCAACAAAATCCTAGAAGAGATTTTCCCTAACATAAAGAAGGATTTAATCTATCAAAGTAGAAGAGGCACACAGAATAACAATAGACTGAATCAGAAAAGAAAGTTCCCCTTGGCACATAATAATCAAAACTCTAAATGTACAGAACAAGGAACGAATAATAAACATTAAAAGCTGGAAGGGAAAAAGACCAACTGACATATAAAGATAGACATATTAGAATTATGCCTGAGTTCTCAACAGAGGATCTAAAAGCCAGAAGGCCCTGGAGTAATGTGGTAAAGATTCTAAGAGACCACAAATACCAGCCCAAATTACTATACCCAGCAAAACTTTCAAACACTATAGATGAAAAAAAATGACATTCCACGATAAAGCGAAATTTAAGCAATACTTATCTACTAATTTGTAGAGGATTTCTCTACCTAACTTAAAGAGGTTAACTAGATCAAAGAAAAAACAGGAAATAAATAATCCCAGGCTAGAAAAGTCAAAAGAAGGGAAACACATATATATTCACAACCACCACCATCACCACCACCAAAATAACAGGAATCAACAATCACCAGTCAATGGTATCTCTCAACATCAACAATCCAAATTCCCCAATAAAAAATCACAGACTAACAAAATGGATGCAGAAATAGGATCTATCCTTCTACTACATTTTAACATCAAGGATAGACATGACTTTAGGGTAAAGGGTTGGAAAAAGATACTCTAAGCAAATGGACCTAAGAAACAAGCTGGTGAAGCTAGCTGCCTTAGTTATGGTTTCTACTGCTGTGACTAAACACCAAAAAGCAAGATGGGGAGGAAAGTGTTTATTTGTCTTACACTTCAGCATTGCTGTTCATCACCTGAAGGAAGTCAGGACAGGAGGAACTCAAACAGGGCAGGATCGCAAGGGCAGGAGCTGATGCAGAGACCATGGAGGGGTGCTACTTACTGGCTTGCTCAGTCTGCTTTCTTATAGAACCCAGGACCACCAGTCCAGGGATGGCACTACCTACAATGGGCTATGCCCTCTCCCATTAATCACTAATTGAGAAAATGCCTTACAGCTGGATTTCATGGATGCATTTCCTCAACTGAGGCTCCTTCTTCTCTGATGACTCTATCTTGTGTCAAGTTGACACACAAAACCAGCCAGGACACTAGCCGTTTTAATATCTGACAAAACAGACTTCAATCTAAAATTAATCAGAAGAGATAGGGAAGGACCCTACATACTCAACAAAGGAAAAAAATCCACCAAGAGGACATTGCAATTCTTATTACCTGTGTACTAAACATAAAGGCACCCAACTCCATAAAAGAAACACTATTACATATGAAGGCACATTTTGACCCTTACACACTGATAATGGGAGACTTAAATACTCTACTCTCACCAATAGACGAATCACTCAGACAAAAACAACACAGAAAAATGCTGGAGCTAACTGATGTCATAAGCCAAATGAACCTAACAGATATTTACAGAACATTTCACCCAAACACAAAAAAAAGGCACCTTCTTCTCAGCACTTCATGGAACTTTCTTCAAGACTGATCATGCATTTGCACACAAAGCCAAGTCTCAACAGATACAAAAAGTTGAGGATACACCCTGCATCCTATCTGTTTACCACGGATTAAAATGGTATTATTAACAACAGAAACAACAAAAAACTTAGAAGTTCATGGAACTGAATGAGAAATGGGTGACAGAAATTAAGAAATTGAAGACTTTCTAGAATCGATGAAAAGGAATACACAACATACCCAAATTTATGGGATGTAAAGAAGTCAGTTCAAGAGGCAAGTTCATAGCAATAAATGCCTACATAAAAAAAATAAATCTTAGATATCACATACTAGTAACTTAATAGCATATCTGAAAGCTATAAAAAATTTAAACAAACAAACAAACAAAAAACCAGTGATTTTCAACGTTCCTAATGCTGTGATGACTCATGTTGTGATGACTCCCAATCATAAAATTATTTTCATTGCTACTTCCTAATTATAATTTACCTACTGCTATGAATCATAACATAAATATCTGTGTTTTCTGATGGCTTTAGGTGACTTAGATGACCCCTATGAAAGGACTGTTTGATCCTCCCAAGGGTCAGGACCCATAGGATGAGAAGTACCACTTTAGAACAAAAAGAAAACTACATGCATAAGGAGCAGGCAGCAAAAATAATAAAACTCAGGGCTGAAATTAATAAAATAGAAATTTAAAAGATACAAAATAGCAATAAAACAAAGAGTTGTTTCTTCAAGAAAATCACTGAGATTGATAAATCCTTATCCAAATTAACTAAAAGGCAGAAAGACTAAGTTAACAAAATTATAAATGAAAATGGGGATACAGCAAAATAAAGTGATGAAATCCAGAGAATCATAAGAACACATTTTTTTTTTTAAAAAAAAAACCACTGTACTCTACCAAATTGGAAAATCTAAAAGAAATGAGTAATTTTCTTAAGACATACCACTCAGCAAAGTTAAATCAACATCAGACAAGAATTTATACAGACCTATAGACCCTAGTAAAATAAAAGCAGTAATTAAAAGTCTCTCAACCAAAAGAAGTCCAGGGCCAGATGGTTTTTAGCACAGAATTCTACCAGATTTTCAAAAGGAGAATTAATGCCAATACTGCCCAAATTATTCCACAAAATATAAACAGAAGGAACACTGCCCAATTTGTTTTATGAGGCCACAGTTGCCTGATACCTAAACCACAGAAAGGACCAACAAAAAAAGAGAATTACAGGTAAATTCCCCTTTTGAACATACACGCAAAGCAAATCCAAGAACACATCAAAAAGATCATCCACCATAATCAAGTAGGCTTCACCTCAAAGATGCTTGGATGGTTCAATATATGTGAACAGATAAATGTAGTCCACCACATAAAACACACTGAAAACAAAACAAAACAAAACAACACCACCCATGTCCCATCATAATAAAAGTCCTGGAGAGACCAAGGA